AAGCAGGCCCCAGCCCGTCACGATCTGACTCGTCACTGAGAAGCGAGCCCTCGCCCTCGGCGGCCTGAGCGACGTCAGGGTTGACAACAGCGAAAGTGTCGGCAGAAAAGCGCAACGCCATACACTCCGCCACAACCTCGGCCGGCTCGCTGGTCATCCAACGGCCAAAGTCTGTCTTTTCGGATTCAATGGTGAGAGTGTAAAAGTTGGGATGCAACAGATGGCTTTGGCGAAAGCGCTCGGACTTGTGACGTATTTCGGTCGGCTGAACTTCCACCTCATCGGGGTTTGCTGCGTTTGCATGTCGAAGATATCGCTGCGGTTTCCTGATGTAATCCATGAAGTTGATGGGATACAAGCCGTAGAGGATGGTGAAATAATTAGCGAGATGAGGAACATCGATGTCGTCAGCTTCGGGGGAGAAATGGCAGGTTTCCCATCCCGAGTTTGAGGCCTTCTGCTCGCCTTCGTCTGATGTAGCTTCAATCACCCCGATCCTCTCACTATCCCAAAAAAGCAACCGTGCATAAATATTGAACAGGTTTGGAAGATGTGGCGCCAGCGAGCTTGGCATATGTGGCAATATCATGATCAAAGCGGTGATTGCCACTGAAATGACGGTTGTCGAGGTGTCTTGTTGCAAACATCGTAGCAAGTTGCCGAACAAGGGTGTTTGCAAGATTTGATGTAGATGCGGCGGTTGGCTCTGGACGAACTCGCACAAGAGTTTGGCAACGCGGGCTCGGCACTCGCTGCGAACAAACGACTTATCGAGGGTGAAGAGAAAGTCCTGGGCGTCGCATTAGACACTGGATGGTATGGCGACATGCGCGATGCATCGCTTACCTTGGGCCTCTTTTTTCCATAGGTGAGAAGAGCCTGGCGTATTGCGCGCTCGCTCGATTCCCCAGTCAAGTCATTCCCCGACTGCGTCTTGTAGTATTTGTGCTTCCACGAGGACAACAGCCGTTGCGCGAAAGGGTTTACGGTAGGTTCGGCGGTCGAATCGTCGTTATCGACATGGCCCAGCATCAGAACCTCGAGGGTGGCATTATGTGACTCCTCCATCAAGCCCTTTTCGCGGGTGAAATTCTCCAAGACCGGGTCATTCAGGATATCCCACCACTTGAAGAGGCGGGCCGGTGTGCGGAGCACTGGGACCAAGAGGCGGAAGATGTGGATGAAGACGGCATACTTGGACGGCGTGCCCTTGACATGCTTCTCGTATATGCCAAGCAGATCATCTTGCAGTCTGTCGGAGCTCGAGTCGCTGTACTCTTCGTGTTTGTTCAGGTACGCTTCGATGACTTGCGTGATGTCGTCGGGCAAAGGCAGAGACGGCGAGACTGACAGGAAAGATGTCAGAGCTTTGGACAGGTCCTTGAGTGACCTACACAAGGTCTTGTCAGCCGATCATAGGCACCATGGTAGAGTTGCGGGAGCTGGAAGGGTCCTGAAGCGAATATCGCGCACCGCATGACGCAGGATCTGGATACGAGATGCGGAAGCGACGATGGATGCTAAGAAGATCTGGCCACTCACGCTGACGACGCCATATTGCAATTCGTGACTCTTCATGGAGCCTTGCGATGTTTTTATCGGTCAAGGGGGAAAAGCAAGGCTTCGGCGGACCGCGAGGGCGGGTGTCGATGTCGATGTCATGCAACCGTCAGGCAATGAAATCTGCTGATGCAAGGTACAAGCTTTGCCAGGGACCCTCACAGTTGTGCAAGGCCGGTGCGGGAATGGAATGGGCGCGGAAACAGTGGAAGGAGACAGTGGAAGGGGGGAAAGATTGGATCATTGGACGCTAGGAGAGCCCCGACGAAAAAGCACGACTCCCCTCCACCGCTGCCCTGCCCTGCCCGCCCGCCTGCCTGTTGCCATCCCACGCCACGGATGGACGAGTTTACTTAGGTACCTACCTAAGGTAGGTGGTGGGTGACCTGCGGCGGCGTGCGACGGGCCACAATCCACACAGTGAGGGGACCCGATGGGAGCGACTGCCATGCGCATTGAGTGGCCTCGCTTACGACGGCTTCAGCGGGTCCTGCATGTTTAAGGGGGAGCTCTGTACAGTGCAGAATGCGCATCTGGGATGAGCAGAGATGGCCCTGGCACAGTGACGCGGATCCTGGATGAAGCGCGGCAGGTGGGGATACTTGGATCTCGGTGGCCGGATCACGCTGCAGGCAGGTACCGAGACCCCACCAGTGACCTCACGGGGCTAAAACCCCGCAATCCGCGTCTGTACCGCGAGTGCGCCATGCGCCGGTGCGTGGGCCACACTGCACCGATGCACCCGACCCCAGAAAAACGTACGGGCGACAGTGGGGCCATTGGACCACTTGAAGCTGTTGTGGGTTGTGGTCTTGTCCAGAAACGCACCTGATCAGTCGTCCACCATTGGTAAGGTAGTGCCATATGCGTGCTGGTAGAGCAAACCCCCTCAGCTCAGGTCACTTTGCCGGCCAGCTGCGAATAGCACGGAATCCCTTTCCTGGGAGGTGAGCTAAGGTACGTAACCGTACACTGCTCCCGGCAGCAAAGAGCCATGTACCGTCCCGTCCGTACCTTTGACCAGAGATCGGCTGGTGGTGCAACCCCTCCTTTGCTTTGCTCCAGATGACTCGACCCTTATTGCTTGCTTTCCCCTCCCTCTTTTAAGCCAAATAGCTCTGAGCTGTCCCTCTTCTCCTCCTTCTCTCCTTCTTCTTCATCATCATCATCAACAACCAAGCTACTCACCCAACAGCTGCGTCACCAATTCCCTGCGACGACCTTCTCTGTGACCTCTTCACGGTTCCAATTGCTCCAAACCAGTCCACTAGCAAGCTCAAGCTTCACCATACCCCTTTCCCCCTTAAACCCAATCCACACAAACAGTCGGCAAGATGGCATCCAAGAGCTCTGCAGTGGCGGACGAGCCCATTGAGGTCTTGTTCGCCCTGCAACCCAACTTTGATCTTCTCGACATGGCCGGCCCGTTGGAGGTCCTCGCCAATGCCCTTCACGACAAGAAGGACAAGAGTGAGTCACCAAATCTACCCTGTTCTCCCTTTCCCCCCACCCCAATGACACCAACGTGAACGCGGACGCAGCCCAGCTGACCAGCCGCCCTACCCCGCAGACTCCAAGGCCTTCGAGGTTACCGTCGCCGCTGCTGAGCCCAAGGTCGTCTCCGACTCGGGCGTCACCATTGGCACCCAGATCCCCTTCAAGGAGGCCTACGAGCGCCTCAGCGACTTTGACGTTCTCGTCATCGTCGGCGGTGACAGCGACAAGATCATCAAGGCTAACGCCGAACCTCTCCCCCTCATCACCGCCTTCTCCGAGCTGCAGAAGAAGGACCCCACCCACGAGCGCACCCTTCTCTCCGTCTGCACCGGCTCTCTCCTCCTTGCCAAGCAGGGCATCCTCGCCGGCCTCTCCGCCACCACCCACTCAGACTACATCACCACTCTTGAGATCCTGTGCAGCGAGGCTGCCACCCGCAACCTGACCGAGAGAACCGATGTCATCGAGGATGCCCGATACGTCGTCAACAACCTCCGATTCGACCTCGGCGACGAGGACGAGAACCCGTATGTCCGTCGCACATCCGACGCCGGCCGCCGGCCCTCCAACGCCAGGTACGTCAGCCTGCTTACACCAAACCTAATTGACTGAACGTGGCTAACAACACAGCAGAAAGGGCAGCATGTCCTTCAAGAGCTCCGGCCGCCGCGAATCCATCACTCGCCGCGCCGCGATGCGCCTCGGTGGTCTGCGTGTCATCACGGCTGCTGGAGTCAGCGCTGGCGTGGATGCGGCCCTGTATCTCGTCAGCGCTCTCGTCTCCGACGACTCGGCCGAGGAGGCCGCTCGTTACTTGCATTGGACCTGGAACAAGGGCGTCGTCGTCGACGGACTCGACGTCTAAATGAATTATGATACCCATGAATTACACGGATGGATGGTAAAAGTTCATTCACGATTCATGAAAATCTGTAAGAAGGACGGGAAAAGCCTTCCAGATGTGTAAAGAGATCTTTAGATCTCGATAGTATTGAAGCAATTACGTGTTTATTAGTCGCAAATCCACTCTATTTCTGAGCCTTGTAACTCCTGCAGCCATGTATGTCACTGCGATCCACTCCTCCGTGGGTTCTGCCTAAATCACGAATGCATACCACCGCCAATTGACTGACCGGGTCTCTGCATCCTCCAGCCCGCGCAATTCTTCGTTTTCGATGCCAGATTTCAGCTTCGTCACGCGCACCTTTCCCCTCATAAACCAGTGGGGAATAAACTCTGCTTGTGCGTGGGCTTACATAACTTGACTCGTCTGGTGCTAAAATCCGGGGTTGTAGCTTTGACGGACAAGGCAACTCCTTGGGCAATATTCGCACAGCGCCCTCGAAACGCCGTTGGCCAGCTTGCCGTGTCAGGCTAAACATTGGAAAGGCAAACGGCCTGCCACTCGGCGCGTCTCACTTTGGGGTTGTTTCTTCCCCAGACTGAGGCATCTGCAACACCTTGTCGACGGGATGGATTTCCTTGTACGCAGGTGGTTTCCATCAATGCGGAGCCAGCTCGAGCTCAGCTCTTGAAACCTTGAAACGGCAAGATGTCGTGTGACAGAACTTCAAACTATCAATACGCGTGATGGAATCACCTGCGTATGTAGACCTTTTGAACATTTCTGAGCCAAGTAGCGCAGGCTGAAATATTCTCACCTGTATGAGTTCGCGTCTGTCTTGTCATGCGCTTAGACTGATGTTCCGGCTGGAGCCCCGCCTCCGGACACCGAATGGATCCTATGTGGGTACAGCATCGGACCCGGACAATTCCCCCGCTCCCTGTCCAGCGCCTCGAGTATGGATCCACTATCTCTGGCGGACTTACGTAGACCCGCTTCAGCCAATCAGAAAGCAATTCAATCCTTGCAGTGAACTTTTTGGATTCTCGCGAGCCGCACACCAGAATCCTTGAGCACCGTGTAGGCCAGCAACGACACCATGCCTAGATCGTGGAGAGGACTGGTTAAAAAGGAGTTTAGCCCCTTGTTTCCGGGCTTCAAGCTCGGAGAGAAGAAGGTCTACCTGTGAGAAACACCCCAATTGTGGTCACCGCACCCCAGCAGCGTAGAGAAACTGACCTTTTCACCACCCTCCACAGGCCGAACCATACCATCACCTTCATTCGCAAAGACAGAGTCCCGCCCAACTGGGCCACTTTCCAGGTGCCCCTCACATTCACGAAGCTCGACATCCGCGACTACCTCTGGAACCTCTACAAAGTCCACACGACCGGGGTGCGCTCATGGGTGGACTCGAGCAGCGCGGTCCGTAAGCCGCGCGGGGGCTACTACCGCCCGCAGCCCAAGAAGTTCATGATGGTCCAGCTGGTGAAGCCCTTTGTGTGGCCCGAGCCGCCCAAGAACCTCGAGCCGTGGAACAAGAAGCTGTGGCAGGCGCGTACGGACGCGGCGAACGAGCACTTCAAGAGCCAGGCCCACCTCCAGGCCGGCAACCTGCATTACCCCAGCGAACTAGCCATGACCAGCACGCCGCGGAAGCGGCTTGCGGAACAGGCGAAGGCACTGCTGAACGGAGAGAAGCAGTGGGTTGAGCCGGACAACTTGGACAGCAAGTGGGACAAGATCGCGGAGGTGGCGAAGAGGGAGAGAGAGGCGAAGCAGCAGAAGTATGACACGGAGAAAGAGGAGAGGCTGGGGACGGAGAAGCCGGCGAGGAGGGAGAAGAAGGCCCGTGAGAAGGAGGCCGGCGAGAAGGAGGCCGGTGAGAAGGAGGTAGAGAAACAATGAGCACAGAGAGCGGATGAATGAAGAGAAGATGGCCGATGACGAGTTGCACTGGATAGGCGAGGGGGCGTGATGTCGTCTCTGAGATGGCAGTGCGTGGTGGACCTCATGTACAAAAAATCAGACAGCTCAAGGCGAACATGCGGCGATGGCCGCATGTGTGTACAACACAAAAAAAAGGATGGCATGGAGATGTAGGTCATGTCAATTGGTATCATCAAGTTCGTTACTCTCTTCAGCCGTGTTTGATACAACCCAGTGATGGCCTTCTTGAAAGCGCAGGACCTCGTTGCCCCATGCCCACCAGCCTGCTGTCAGGTGACGTGCAAAGACCTCGAGGCCGCGGAATCCTTGGGGGAGCAGGTCTCCGAACAACGGGCGCAGGTTTGGTTTTCTCGAGTGGATGTCTGGCACAGCAGCGATTATCCGCTGGGGTATTTTGCGGCCATCGCCGCCGCCGCGACGTCTGGCGATGATTAGTCTCTCCCACGGCTTCCTCCACGCGGACTCGACGTCGAAGATAGGCTCCCCTTGCGAGGTAACCTTGACCCATGTCCATTCAGTAGCAACCTCCAGACCCCATCCGGACAGAACACCTTTGGGCGATGTGAGAAGGTCTACTAAGCTAGGTTTGTTAGTGACCCAGACGGCGACGAGGCCACCGTCTGCGAGGTGCCCGCCGACAGGAATCTGCTCGAGGAGCAGCCGGGTCTCCTTGAGCCCGTATACCGTGGAATACCCTCCGGTCTTTCTCCTCGCGGACTTATTCGGCCAAGGCGGATCCAGGACGATGAGGTCAAAAAGAGGTGCCGTCGAGACGAAGTCATCTCGAGTATCCTCGATTGAGCCGCTGATGTACGATGAGCCTTCGGGAATAAAATGCGCCTCTGCCGCCGTTGTCTCACGGGGGCAATGCTCCTGTAAGCCATCTTGATCGTCGTCGCCGCTGGTTTTGGCGGTGATGCTGCTCTTGGTGGTGGTCACTCGTGGGAGACAAAACCGCGCTTCATGGTGCTCTTTTAGCGTATCAAGAGCGCTCCTCACCGCCGCCTCGATCATGAGGTCTGCAAGTTGGCTCGCCGGCGTGCTCTGGTTGACGTGGGGGTTCCGCGGCTCCGGTAACGGATAGGGCTCGGCGACAGGGTCGACCGACAGGAGCCGCCGTGGCCCCCCTCCTTCTCCGGATGTTGTCTCGGCACTTTGGCCCAGGAGGTGCTGGCTTTCCTCGATAGACGCAGGGATGTCGACGAGGAACACCGTCTGGTCCTCATCGCGGAACAAGATGCACTTTGGCGATGCAGAGCTTGATCGGTCGGGGTTTGAGGGCGGACCAGAGACCATAATTTTATGTGAAGTCGGACTCCTGTGATCTTCATTCGATAGGTGCCTTCCTGTGTGGCTAGGACGCGCCGGAGGCTTGAATTGAGGCCCGGCGCAGTCCAAGTGCAATCGAACAGGACCCGGGGCTTGGCTGGGGTGGCTTTGGGAAAAGATAGTACGGCGCAGCAGTGCCGAGGTCCTGCGTTGGCGCTGTTTCTCCTGGAAAGACAAGACAGACGGTCTGGGGTCTATTTCCCTTGGGGAATAATCTTATTCCTGGTGGGAAAATTGTTGAAGGCTACTGATCCCCAGCTAGCACGCCAAAGTCGTGTCCAGCGTGTGTGATTCAGGTACACGCACGTGTAGACATCGTAAGCGTCCAACGTGTATTCATCCGCACCTTGGCCAGAACAGAGCTGCTGGCCGGAGTTAAAGATCCAGGCGCGACATCTTGTGGTCTCGTGCTGCAGAGCAAAGTAACCGCGAAGTCGGCCACTCGCAACTGCCACCGCCTCTATCCGAAGGCGTGTCCAGTGTCAGGTACCTTACGCCCGCGACGACGCTCGGCAATCTTCGGCTCGTGGCCTTGACCCCTGTACTAGACTCAGCGGGCAGGACAGTCCGACAGTGCCTCTCCCACCAAAAAAGTGCCTTCCCCATTGGAAGCGCCGGTCCGCTTGAGCGCCCCGCGGGCCCCCCAGAGGGCGACTCTTCAATGAGAGGGAGCCTTTTAAAAATCTCGCCCGTATGACGTCCGCCCCGTCGCATTCCGGCTCCAGAACCCTTTTCCCTTCCATTTCCCATTGCAACTTCTCCACGATCACCGCCGCCCCACGATCCTTACCCTTCTGGCGTGCCACCTCGATTCTTTCCTTGCCTGTGCTCTGATTTACTCCCCGACCTACACACACGCTTCAACACCAACACTCACGGAATGCTCCTGTAGCTACGACTGCTTTCACCACACACGGACGAGGGAACGAGAACCGCGGGTCGCGCTGGCCAGGGAATGCCGTCAGCGCTGATGGAACATGCCTCCATGTCGGAGGTAGCACCGAAGACGCAGCGATCAAAAGCCGACACGAGGAGTCCCCCCGTCTGCCCGACCGACAAAGATGACACGGTAGAACTGAGGAAACAGACCCGGACCTTCGACTATGTCTGGCGGTCCGGCGTCGCGGGAGGCTTGGCGGGTTGTGCTGTAAGTTGGCTCCCTGGGTGACCACGATCTATCTGTACGACGGCCATGTCTGACTTGACCGGGCAATGCAGGCAAAGACGGTCGTCGCGCCCCTCGACAGAGTAAAGATCCTCTTTCAGGCAAGCAACCCCCAGTTCGCAAAGTACACGGGGTCGTGGTTCGGTGTTGCGACGGCAATGAAGGATATCAAGTCCCACGAAGGCGTATTGGGGCTGTTTAGGGGACACTCTGCCACGCTGCTTCGAATCTTTCCCTACGCCGGCATCAAATTCCTTGCCTACGAACAAATACGATCCATCATCATCCGAAACAAAGACCAAGAGACCCCATGGCGCCGCCTCCTCAGCGGTTCCATGGCCGGCGTCACCTCTGTATTCTTCACATACCCTTTGGAGGTCATCCGCGTGCGCCTGGCCTTCGAGACGAAACACGGCGGATCTTCACTAACCGCCATCTGCCGGCGGATCTACAACGAGCGCTTCGTGCGGACCACCGCGAAACCGACCGGCACCGTGGCCGACGCGGTTGCTGCGCCTATCGCCGCAATTGCACCGCGCTCGGGCTTGGCCAACTTCTACAGAGGCTTCTCGCCGACGCTGCTAGGCATGCTGCCGTACGCCGGCATGTCTTTCCTCACACACGATACCGTAGGCGACATCCTGCGCCTCCCGAGCTTCGCCAAGTACACGACACTCCCCCAGCCGAAGAATGCACCCGAGGGCAAGGCTGCCCCGCTACGCTCTTGGGCCGAGCTGCTCGCCGGTGGTGTCGCTGGTCTGGTATCACAGACCACATCGTACCCGCTCGAGGTCATCCGCAGGCGCATGCAAGTCGGTGGTGCCGTAGGAGACGGTCACCGACTTCGCATCGGCGAGACGGCCGCGATGATCTTCAGGGAGAGGGGAGTGCCGGGTTTCTTTGTGGGCTTGACGATTGGCTATGTGAAGGTGTTCCCCTTGGCAGCCGTGAGCTTCTACACCTATGAGCGCGCCAAGACCTGGTTGGGAATTTAGACTGTCTGCTTGACGAGAGAGAGATGGTTGATTGTGAATACGGCGTTATTGGGATACAACCGGGGCAGAAGCATTGCTGGGTTTTATGAAACAAACAGGCGGTTGAGAGGAGAAGCCTTGAACCGTCGGAGTATGAGGGCGCCCTAGATTGGAGGCTAACTGCACATGACATTGTCCAATAAACAGTTTTGTATGTTGCGTCACAGTTTACGCTCGAAATTGCAGCACATTCTGACGTGCGCGGCCGAGCGACAGGGTGGGCGAATTCGCTCAATTTCATTATATTTTTCTTTGTCAAATCATCATATCGCTCTTACTCAATTTCCTCGCTGATACATCTTGTGATCTCAACACCGTCCTAGATCCTGTCAGAAAATGCATGTGACTTGCTTGGCAGGGATAGAAAAAACTCACGGGCACACCAGTCGGCTCGAAGCTATTGATCAGCCGGCTCTCATACTTGAGATGCGGGTTTCCAACCCTCGTCAAGTCTAACCTCTCCTCGCCCTCGCGCTTGAGGTACTGCTTCGCTGTCCGGTCATCAAAGAAGCCGCTCTCCTTGCGCGCCTTGGCGACGTCCTTGGCGGCGGCGCGCTTCTCCGCGACCGAGCTCCGCACGTACTCCAAATACGGCGGGTTGCCGGGCTTGATGACGTTGTCGGCCGCGAGGACCGACCCGGGCGCGACGATGCCGAGCTGCTCGCACAGCTTGAGGTCGGTCGTGTAGGCGGGCTTGTAGTGGTCCAGGAACATGAGGTCGATCCTGGGGAGGTCGCCGGCGGCGTGCAGGCGCTGGATGGAGGCGTCGCTGGGCCCGACGACGACCTTGACGATGTCAGAGAGGCCGGCGAGGTCGACGAGGGACATGATGACGGCGGCGAACTCGGGATTGCGCTCGAGAGAGTAGTACCGCTGGCCGCCCGCCTTGCGGACCGCCGCGCCGAAGAGGATGCAGGAGTAGCCGACGTACCCGCCCAGCTCGACCTGGTGATGATTAGATGAAAGTCGAAACTCGCAGCGGAAAACCCAAAGCTTTCCCTTGAGAAAGATGGGATGATCTGCGGCCATCTCGTGTGTGCAACTCAAAAGCTGTGTTTGACAGGGGGCATTTTGGGGGTGGGGAGATATGTACCATAACCTTGGGCTTGACTTCAGCAATCAAATCCGTCACGATCTTGCCCTTGTCCTCGCCGACGTTCATGAGGTACTTCTTCTTGCGACCGAAATCGTCAATGGCGGCCAGCACACGCTCGGGCGACCCGCGGATCTCGTCAATGTCTGGCTGGGCGTAGACAAAGTGCAGCAGCTCGATTTCGCGGCCATCGTCGAAGAAGACCTCTTCCTGCACCGCGTAGGCTTTGGTCTCGTCAAAGTGAGGCATCTTGCGTGTCTGTGTTTGTTTGAGTCTGTCTGGGGGTTTATGATGCAGGTTAAACTGTAAAATGACCAAGAAAGAAAAAAAAGGAAGGAAGATCCAAGAGGGCGAAGCAGTCTGTGGCAGCGGCATGGACGATTATTATCACGATTCAACGAGACGGATTAGCACTGATACACCCATTGCAGAATCTCCGAAGCAGCTCGCGCCAGCATGCCGAGTACGTCCGGAAACGCAGCTCTCGGCGACCTTTACCCCAACATCGTCCACCAGCGGGCTGTGGAGCTGCCCCTCAATGCACTTTGTAAGGCATAATTCCCGGGGGGGGGCAAGAGGAGAGCTCCCCAGCTGGAGCCTGGGAGGAAGAGGGAGGGTACTTGTGTCAAGCACGACAAGGCCAAGGAAGACAAGGTACCGCAGCATAAAACGATGACCTCCAGCTCCCGTCTTGATTACCTCACATGCCTATGGCGGGGTAAGTAAGGTAAGGAGGGACCCGTTCATGTCACCTGCTTTCGCGATCAGGGAGCGGGAGCGGGATGGTGGGGCCAAGTCCAAGGGGGGGCTGGAGGCTGGGCAACTGCGAGTCCATGACACGCACAACACCTCATCAGACCGCGTCGTCGATGTAATTGACTTTCACCACCCGCTACCTCGGTGAGCTGGACCTGCGCCCGACTGCGGGGAAAACAAGAAGAAGCAAGCAAGCAACGCAAGAGAAAAAAAAAGAAGAGCTCAAAAGCATTCGAGCAAGCAAGGTACGGACGTGGGCTGACGGAAGAAAAACGCAAACGCCGCTGATCCAAGACGATTATTTGCATTCGTCCGATCGGTGCAACGCATACCCGCAAAGGCTAACCAACAATGTTCCGACCAAAACATCAGCCCAGAAAATAGAAAAATATCTGGAAACCCCTCCCAGCATCTCTCTCCCCGGGCCAACCAGAGACCTCCAAGATCCAGATGCGGCTCACCGGATCATTGCCTCCCCCCGGTTCGTCTCCGGTTCATCCTACCCCACGTGCGATATCCAGATTCCACGATTCGTGTCGATCAACGCTAGACAATGGCCCTTTCCTTGTTCAAGAGAGACCGGGAAACTGAAAAGAGGCTGGCGCGGCCTGCCAACTGCCATCGATGATGGAATCGACTTCTCGCTGCTGTGAAACATGGGATTTCCTGATTGCCTCTCCTCACCCCTGCTCTTTCGCCTGCATACCGGACGGAAACCACTCCGAACCGCTAGCACGCCATCCAAAGCGCTTCCACGCATTGGTTCACACCGACGGCAACCGCCCGTGGCATGCGGAACTAGGGCTAGAACGGCGCCGCTTGTACAAGCTCTCGTTCTTGGACGTCTCCGGCCGGGGTATATGGAGCCACCTGCAACATCATGAGCATCATGACTCTCGTTGTAACACGACATGCCGAG